TGCCGCGTTTTTTGATGCGTTCCGGGCCGTTTTTGGTTAAAAAAATTTTTTTGTTTAAAATGGGCTTTCAGTGCGTTTCAGGGCGGTTGCATGCACTTTTAATGGGTTTGCATGTGTTCCAGAGCAGGTAAAATAGGGCATGCTGCAGTTTTTTTTTTTACATGCTCTGGAACTGAACGCTGCGGTGTGAACTGGAGCCCAAAATACCATTGGAATACATTGGACGCCGTTTTGATCCGGCCTGTAACTGCTCTGCTCCTGGAACGCGCTTGGTGTGAACTAGCCCTGTTAGTAACAAGAGATACCATGTAACAATTCTAGAGAACGCTGGAGGGAACTGGCAAATAAATGTAACCGTTGCCATGCTTTGTGTTGTATCTCAGAATGCAGCATGTCCGATTGGGGATGCATTTGCATCCTGGGCTGCATTCGTATGTAACATCCAGTGCTTGATAGCAACACCAGTATACATAAGCCCTTAAAAAGAGCCTTTCAGGACATAAACATGGGACGTATTACTGATCACTTGTTGAAGTTAGAGTTGATATTTTAGAGCAGGTAAGAGCACCCTATAAAATAAGATTGGGGACGTTACCTGACAATTTTATACAATTACAAGCAATTTCAATTGCTTTCGAGCACATTGAGTAATGTCAACCCACCCTAAAATCAAGATTCACCCATCCCTTTTCCCGTATAGCTGCAAAGTAGGGTGTATTTTGCAGTACAGTTCTGATATATTATCTGTCCTTGTTATGTATGAACTCTGCGCTGCACCAAATCACTTCTTGCTTTGCATGCTGGGTGTAATTTTCGGTATGTGTTCTTATTCTGTATGCATGGACTCTGATCTATAGCACTTTTACTTTGTATGCTGGGTTTGGTATAATTTTGCACGGCTAGTGCATAGTACCACTTGTCATGCATCCTGGTAGTGATTCTTGATCCATATGTATGGACGCACATCCCCCTCCAATGGCAAGAAGAGTAGGGATGCCCCTAGCTGGGTGTAATTCTCAGCATCAGTTCTAATTCTGTATGTATGGACGCTGTTCTACAGTACTTTTCTATGAGAGGTATAGTTCCCAGTATGTGTATAATGTCTGCATGGACTGCGTAGTACCACTTTTCCAGGAATCGATCCTTGGCTTGTTTTTATTCACGGAGTGCACTGCAGAACTTCCCTCCTATGTCTGCTCAACATATTTTTTTACTATTTTAAACCACACTCCTTAAAGTAAAACTTGCACCTAAATGGCAAACCATTCTAGTGTGGCCCACCTTCCCCTTGGTGAAACCACACAAACAAGAAAAAAAATATGGGAAGAAAAAGTTAGATAAAACACCTTTTCTGGCTTCGCAGGCGGGGGTGACATCATCCTCATTCTGACGAGAGCCAGTAGATTTTGAGTAGCCCAAATCTCAGACATAATCACTATGTTGCAGTGTCATTTCGCAAGATTTGGAGTACTTGCCATTCTACGGGATCTCAGCAGGATGGTGACATCACCACCTCCTCTTTTTCATATTTTGCAACCTGATCTACAGCACCTGTGGCAGTGCCTAGGCACCCTCCACTCTAATAGCTTCACAGGAAACAATCTGGAATCTGACATTATCAGGAATATCCTGCCCATTCCTGTCACTGCATTAAAGACATATTCCCAGCATATATCCAGGAATTGTATATAACTATACACACAAGAACAATCTAAGCAGAATTAAATAGGCCACAATACAATAAGTTCATCTGAAGCTGGAACTGCAGCAAGTCTAAGAAAGGGACAAATGGTTTGTCATGCTGCGGCAATGTGCGTCTTCATGCACGTTGCCTCTACACAGATCTCTGTATGAAGCCTGAAGTCAGTTTCTAATATCTTAATGTATACACATTACGAATTTCAGCCAGTTACTGACGAACTGGCCAATATTCGCATAGCGGATGACACTGTCACCCTTCCGCCTGCCATCCGTCGATCAAAGAAGCAGGCTGGAAAATTCTCGGCCAAGCGGAGCTTGCAGTAATCATCTATTCGGGTATCTTGACAGTGCCAGCAGCTGCTGTCAGAATACAACAGCGGGGGATTCCTTCATCAATGCTCATCAACGTTGGAGGAATCAGATTTTTTTCATTCAGCCCGCAGGTTGGATGATAAAAATAGGACACATGTATACCTCAACTTTAGAAACATTTGTTGGTTGTTAACATTACAAAGATGGCAGGCTGCCACCCTTCTTCTCTCAGTTAACCCCTTCCTCGCACCCACCCCCTTTTTCCTCACAGGGGGATCAGGCACAAAGTGGTCTGTATTCCCCAAGATCTTGCCTAAAATGATTGTGACATCACCCTTTCCTATGCACTGCAGGCAGAAGGCGAGGGTAAACAAAGTATATCCTCTATTATTTTTCAGGTACCTATTTTAAGTACCATTAGGCAGTGATTTTTACAGGTGGAGGGGCTGGAGCCCAGGCCTTTAAAGAGTATATAAACCCTAAAAATAAACTTCTCTAAACTTTCACCATTTTGATCTGTAAAACAGATGGAAGCATTACTATATCTTTTCAATAAAGTGCAAAGAAATACCTGCTGATCCTGCCAGAGACCCAGTGCTGCTCTGTGTCCTCGGCTGAATCACTTTGTCAAGCTTCTATTATGCTAATTAGATTAATATCTTTTTAATGAAACCCATTATAAAATGTGCTTTATACACAAGATTGCATTTATATAGTGCACAATTATATAGTGGAAACATCATATAGATAATGAGCTGTCCGAATAAGCAGCATTTGGAACATTTAACTTTGTAGATGGAGGCAACTAGAGTTCATGTGGAACATTTAGGCCTTATAGGACGAGGTAATAAGGGTTCCAAGACAAAGTCAAACTTTCCTGACCTTGGTTTAAGGCATAATAAGTTCAATGCCAAGACAGCGATCGTCTAACTTTGATATGAGGTACCCTGGCTTAATGAGCAAAAGGTCCAACACCAAGACAGCAGTCCTCTAACCTTATGAGGGAGTTTTACCAAGACAACCAATCTCCCTGCGCAGGTTACCTCTGTGAATGAGAGAACTCCCCCCCACCAATGTTATTGAGATTAGGTGAGGGAAAGGCGTTCTGTAAACCAAATATATTTTTCTAGCCATCACATGGCACACGAGTAAGAGAATCAATGGTTTCATCATGATTTTTGCATGTGACAAAGTGTCTTCAAGGCTGGGTTTCTCTTTCCAAGAACCCGAATTTGCCCAATCTATAGTGTCCATTGTGTTTGGGTTCAGCTTTTAATCAGAACATAAATGCGGGAGCTCTCTAAAAGGGACATTATATAGATTAGGAGGAATGTTGTAATGTATTTGCATGCAAAAATTTAATAAACAGAATTTTTCAAAAAAAAAATAAAAGGGACATTATAGCCAAGCTATATCCTCGCTTTCATATACTGGATTACATAAAAGGTTTAATAATTTGACGGTAAGCATTTATCAGAAAAGGTAATGAGGGAGGGAGAGAAGCTGAGAGAGGGAGAGTGTATGTATGAGGAGTTTTTGTTCGGTCCAGTTGTCCTATACAAGTAACCTAGCCAGCAGCTCATACAACTGGCTGGCTAAGCTGCTACTATGTCCGGACAAGCATGTTTGCATACACAACTGAACACATATGATGAATGTGTGGGTTTGGGCATTATGGGCTTTAGTATATCAAATAAAAAAAACTTTCCTCCTTAGTACAGGGGTAGGCAAATTAATATGGAGTTCTGGAGCAAGTTTTTTTATTTTAGGAGCCAGCTCAATTGAGCTCAATAGAGAAAAACTCACATGTTAGGGGCCGGCTGTATTTTTTAAAGAGCATTGGCTACCTGGCTTAGTATTAAAGTGATATGAAACCCTCAGTTATGGATTTCAGCACAGGACGTCCACGCTTACTTATTAGGCATATTTTTTGTTTAAAACTGCCTATTTATTTTTTTGGTCTCAATCAGCTGCCCTCCCCTCCTGTTTGCCGGCGTTTCCTTTACCTAGCAGGTTGCAAAGACGCACCCATGCGTGCACACTCCTGGCTGGAACCAGAGCCATGCTGTGCGCACCCAGAAAGCCACGCCCCTTCACAGCAAATTCCTACAGCAGCCTTTCGCTTCCCTAGCGATTCCTCCTCGGAAGCAGCACAGAGCGTCGTGGAGCCAACAGTGGTGAACTCGGATCATAGGTGAAAGAACGCCAATTAAAATTTCTTATCCCTTGCAGTGGAGATACCCCCGCAGTGTAATGGTTAAAAGAGAACTATGGGGTAAGTGTTTTTCCCCATAGTTCTCTTAAGGGTCACGGGAGGACATATACTAACCTCCGCCCGTGACCCAAAGCTCAGTATATCACGAGCTACAGCTCACTGTATACTGAGACCGCCGCAGCCGGGACGTATCCCCACAATGCTGTCGAGATCCACCCAGCTGCGTGAATGACAGCTGGCTCTGCCTATCTATTGGCTACCTCCATATTGCAAGGGTTAAGAAAAACATACTCTAAAGATCATCTTTAATGTTTGAGGGTGGGAGGCATTAAGTACTGGAGCGGTTTTTACCTTCATGCACAGAATGCATGAAGGTAAAAAACGCATAACCTTTAGTACTACTTAACTTTATCCAACAGACTTGCATCAGAGGGAAACATTCTAAATCTGCATCTAAAAAGCAGAGAACACAATCCTCCTGGTTCTCAAATCCCCAAAAACAAAATGAGACCAAATACGAAAATCTATTTTTATATTAAGTTATCACAACAAGTCTAAAATACAGAGGTTAAATAAAATAGAAAAAAAAAACATATCCAGAAATCATTGTTAAAAAAAAAACCAAAATCATAAAATAAACAACTCGCTGCAGGACAGTTTTTTTTTTTTTTTTTTACCCGGCTTAGTATAAAAATTAGAATTTTTGTTTTAACGCCTTATGAATCAGTGCTGAACCCATCCATGGCCTGCAGTGCTATGGACATTGATGGAGGAGAGCGTGAGCTGTGAGTTAGTTATTATTCTTTAAGGTCTTGGCACAGATACTGAAGGCTGGCATACATCAGTCATTATGTATCCACTCCAAACGAACATCCACATCAGTAACACAAGGCAGTTATGGTTGAAACCAGTATGTCAGTAGGTATCAATGCTTCCGTGTTGACCACTGAATGTTCTTAGTCCGGACTGAAGAAATTGATGTTGCCGAAGAGTACGCTATACCACCGATACGTGAACAAGATCAGTCTGTTGAGTTTTTAAAAAAGGGGGCACTTTTGTCCCATGAGGCAATGACAGCAGCTAAAATGGTGACGCGCAGGAGGACGTGTACCAAGAGAAACACAGAGAATCCAATTGAGAGTAAATGGTCAGCAACCTTTGAAACATCCAGTTTTGTCCAAAAGTAAGGAAAGCCAAATTCTCAAGGAAGATACAGAGACTCCTTATTAGTAATACTGGGCAAGAGGTACACCATCGCCAGCCTCTCATCTGTCCTCTTGTCACTCACACCTCACTCTCTGCGGCAGGTATGTGCTTCCCTCTCCAGCCAGTATCCGGTAAAGAGACTCGGCGTTCGGGGCTTGGTGGCAGTGTGACGCTGCCCGTCTCTGACTGCTCTTCCTGTAGCAGCTGTTGAGTTTCAGTCAGATCGAGCGAGGCAGTGCTGGCTTGTAAAGACACAGTGTCCGTCTTGATGCACACGTGGTCCCGGAGGATGCTGGCTCGGGATGGCTTCACCTGCTTGAGGTCATCCCAGTCGCTTTCATCCCCAGACAGTAAACCGAAACCCTCCAAGATTCTGATCTTCTCCTTGGTGAAGCCGTTGTCAGGAACAGCCTGCAAAGGGAAAGAGACGATAAGCGATTGAGGTGATCGATGCAGTGTATTAAATTGAATGCAGTGCGGAGGAAAAACAAGGACGTTAAAGCGGACCTTTACACTCAAAAATCAAATACTACCAATGCCTCCCTCTCTGTATGATGATTAATATCATTGACATGTCAGGTGTAAAATGCGGTCATGTTGAAATACTTGCAGAGCATTCACTTCCTGCTTTGAAAGGGCAAAAGGACTTCAATTTGCCAACGCAATGCACACTGGGATTACCTTGTCGCCAGCAGAACATTGCTGGGAAATCTCATCCGTAATCTCATGAGATCTCAGGGAAAGGCATTTTCCTACCCTGAGATGTGCATGGTCACATGTCCTAGTCACATGTGCCAGAAACCCAGGAAATAAAAGGAGAGCTAGTAATCTGCTCTTAGTAAACATGGCTACTGTTAGAAGACTGGGGAAGAAAAGAGAAACAAGGTATGCAAAGAATATAAAGGTGGCAATTATCTAGAAGTATGTGTTTGTAGATTGTCATTACTAAACATTTCTAAAGGTGTGTTTGTTGTTATTTTAAAGATCTGGGTAAAGGTCCGCTTTAAAGGGGAGTATAGTAATGTTGTAGACAAGACACTTTTATCTCGGTCAGCAGTTTAGAAAAAAACAAGTCACAACCAAATTGCAGAAAATGGACATAAAAGGGTAATGTGCTGAGAACTCAACAAAAGAAAAATTAAAATGAAGCCACAGATGTAAAGTTACCTATACAAAGGCACAAATGATCATTCAAGTCTGATAGCTAGGTACACATGTGTAACAACTTGGAAATCAGCCAGTTTGAGTAGTAAAAAAAAAAATTAGAACTGTACAGAGATCTCTACCAACACCTGATCACTTGCGGAGATGAAGGGATAGTAATTGCGGGGAGCTTGCCAAATATGCAAGCTGCCATTGCTGACTTTGAAAAAAGAACTTGCTTGTGGGTGCTCATTGGGGTCCCTAGCATTTTCGCTCCCTGAAATATGGAGGGTCGGAAGCCAGTGGTGCACACTAAAGTTAGCCATACCTTTTCGGCCAGCATCCATCAGCTGATCGAAGGAGCCAGTCGGCAAAACGTCTAACAGAGCAGCCAGCCAATGAGCTCTCAGAATACAAAGAAAACAGTGGGGATCCCTTGATCAATGCAGGACTGAAGATCAAGTGAGTATATTTTCTTTATTTAAGCCCTTAGACCAAAACAAGCAGGTAACCCTTGCAAAGCAGGGGGCAGCCCCACTGCAAGGAGTCATTTTTAAATTTCTCCGAGTTCTTCTTTAAGTAGTGCAAACATTCTGGCCAAACAGAATTTTATTGGTTGCTGTAACTATACTTTCCACATCATCGCTGCCGTTTATAAGCCAGATGGTCTTCCCACAACAGGAAACATGAAATATTGTGATCTGTGCTCACTGATCTCTTTTTTTATAATTCTACTAAAATGTTAGAGCAGGTTTTATTAACACACAGAAATAGGTGAGACGCATGACCACAGTCTGCAGAAAATCAACAGCAAATTAAGCTTAAATTTGTTAAGTATATCACATGCTCACTATATACATACACACACACATATACACACACACATATACACACACTGAAAACGATCCAGACTTTTAATGCACCAAATCTTCTTGTGCCTTTAGTGTGTTTTTGTAAAAATGTCAATGAACAGATTCATGTAGATCTAGATTTTTTTTTTTTTTTTTACCCTGGACCCAAAGATCCCACAGAGTGTGTTGCTGCTTGCATTCACGAAGCCTATACTCTCTTCTCCTAGATGTTTCTATGGCTGGTGGTGCCATATGAAGTATGTGCCTATTTGTGTGGGCCATGGAAGTGCCAATGGCTGAGTAAATAGTGACCCAATGGCCCCTTTTACACTGGTGCTGTCTACTTCGATCAGCAGGGTATCCATGTTCGGATCCCCTGCTGATCAAAGCAGAATGGAATGGATGTCACTACATTCAGTTTTAAGATGGAGGAAAAAAAAACTGAGCTGAATGAACCCATGTTAGGTCTATGAAGAGTCAGATGTAAATTGACATTTATCAGGCTTACATCAGATTACCTGTAACTCGTCACAATCAGATCCTCGAAAGCTGAACTCTGTTCCGATTTATTTTTCTGGATGTGGACAGAGTCAGGGGTAATGGGATGTAAACAGATGCACATCTATTTAGATCCAGCCCATTGAGTAACATTGAGCTTCTGAAAAGATCCACCTGAAAAACTGGCAGATGGATCTGACTGGACCGCCTGTGTGAAAGTGGCTTTAAGTTGGCAACACAATTGAAGGATGTCAGACAGAAGGCAGCGGACAGGACATTTCACCGAGCGAATTTCAGCCAGTTTGTCCAAAAACCCGGTTGAAATTTGCTCAGTGAATGGTCCTGTCTCCTGTCTTCCATGACATCCTTCAATTGAGAGATCACCGGCAGGGCCACACACACTAACTTGGCCAAAAGCTGATCAGTGTATAGTCCAGCTTTGAGCTATGCTGCTTGTTGCCTAAAAAGAACCAGAAACATGCCAAGTGTCAAGCAATCAGCCATGTTAAGAGTGCAGTAATGGTAAATCTGTTGTAGTAACTGGATAGCAACTTTGATACACAATGGGTTCGTTGCAGCTGGAAAACATACCCATAAAGGGTGGGAGTGGGGACACACACATTTGAAAAGCGATGGGAATGGGACGTAAAACGCAGCCACTCGCATGCAGCGACAACCAATACCTGCAGGTGGGGAGAGGACTCAGAACAGGAAAGGAGAGAGACTGTCAGAAGGGACAGAGTGCTGCAGTGGATGAGACAGTGGGACAAGAATCGATCAGGTGACAACACTCGAAAGGTGGCAGAAAAGTCAAAGTGATTTCAAACAAAGCAATACACAGAATAGTGAATAACACGGTGCAAAGAGCAACAGTGTGCAGTACTCCAATGCAACACAAACACTCATTACTCCACACGTGCCGAACTGCTGAAATCTTGTTTCTCATTAGCGGTGACCAATTACGGTTGTCAATTGCGCTTTAGAACTTTCGTCTCATTCTCACACATACATGGAGCAGGACAAAGGCGACTGCCTAACCTTTGCAATCTTGCACTCTTTAAAGGGTGTTTGTTGTATCAGATTAAAAAGGGAACACAACTCTACTTTCAGGAACAGATTTAAGAAAAAAAAATTACTACATTTGTTGTAAAATTTTACTAGCATTAGGCAACCTTGGTACTCCAGCTGTTGTGGAACTAGAAGTCCCATGAGACACTGCAAGACCGACAGCCACAAGCATGACTCCCATAGGCATGCTGGGATTTGTAGTGCCAGCACAGCTAGAGTGCCAAGTTTGCCTACCCCTTGCTTAGACGGTACAGCCTGTGACTGGACAGTGAAAGGAGAAGCAGCACGGTGATAATATCATCTGTCACTCTGCTTTCCCCTCTTATTAGCATGCTTCTCTTCAGCGTATGAACCGATTGGCTTTGCCTGCCGCTTCTTCCTCTCATGCTCTAGCCCTGATGTGCAGGGACTGCAAGAGGCAGATACCAAGTCAAATACAGGCATTTACCACTGCTTATATTAAAAAAAAATACATGTAATTATTACAGTGCTGCATGAGGTTGTGTCATTTAGAACTGCCTAGAGTTCAGCTTTAACAGCCAATGCAGCTTTTCCTAAAAACCCCTTTATACTGTATAGAGAACACATACATAGCGCATAATCCTTTCATACTCAATGTTCACCAATTCAGACTTCCAGGTAGACACACCTTTCATCTGTAGCATTCATAATATCCATTCACTACAGCAAACTCAACACCCAGTCCTCACCTCTTTACGATGTCGCTGTAGATGACAAGAGGAAGGCCTGTGCACTGCCTCGATTTTCACCTCTTGGGTTGATGTGCGGTAAGACGGGTTGCTGTAAGTGAGGGTCCCCAGTGCTGGATCTGACAGCTTAGCCCGGCGATGCCTGTGAATATCAGATGGCAGGTTAATTTAATATAATTAGCTTCACTTCCACTGTGGCTTGCTGATTTTACGATTCTGGGCCACACTGTTAACGTGGAATTTGGTCACTGTGCTTGGCTAAAGCGGCTCTACCCTTCCATAATTCAGCATGGGTATTAGCATGGGTGTTTTGAGGCCTTTAGTAAGTTAATGCGTCACAATCACAGTTTACACCGTTCAACTAGAACATTATGACCACCTAATATTCAGTAGGTCCCCCTTTTGCCACCAAAACAGCCCGACACGTTGAAGCATGGAATCCACTAGACCTCTGAATGAATGCTGTGGTATCTGGCACCAAGCCG